CTCCCTTCGCCACCTCCTGCTGCTGGTCCTGCTAACCTGAAGCTCGTCACTCGATGCACAGTTGCCCCGCTCTTGGTTCTTTTGCCGGCTTCCCTCCTTTCCCGCCCCCGCCCCCGCCCCCGCCCCCGCCCCCGCCTCCGTTGGCAGTCCTTCCGGGCCTACACCGAACACGAAGTACGTGATCAACTCCTCTCGCGCCTCCTTGGTGAAATTGTTGTTGCGCCCCTGCCACGTGCCTCCGGCTGTGCGTGTTGTAGGTCGGCACCGAAAAAAATACACAAATATCATCGGTTGTCTCACAAGAAAAAAACAGCTGGGAGTGGAGGGACGCGTGTTGACGCATGTTGTTGTTGTAGTTGCTGTTGCTGTTGTGACATGAATAAAAAACTTCCGGTCTCTACTCAAGACCTTCTAGTATCCGTACTGGTCCAGCAGACTCGGGTGCCTTCCCTGGTGAAAGGCCACCTTCCCAATAAAGGCAAGATCAAGTAGTATGTCATTGATGTCATCTAACTGGTGTTCCATCGCACCGCCTGACTCACCGGTGCTTGCCCACTGTCGCCTCAGCATTGCCACGCAGTAGCTCACTGACAGCAGAAACATCCCGGTGCTAAGAGGATTAAGCGTGCGCTTGTTCACGAGGTCGCCAAGGATGAAGATCATGGCCACCTGTTGTTGGCAAGAGCGGGGAGAGGGAGGAAACGACGTACGCACGCGTCGGCGAGCGCGACCAAAGCCATTGACGACGACGCACGTCGATAGAGATCACACAAAATGCCGGGAATTCTTTGCCTCATATCGGCTGTTCAATGTACGTGTGTGGAGGGGGTATACGCGTGACGTTCGTTGGTTAATTTCCGACGGTGCCGCGATGTTGAAATGTTTTTCAACGATCTTGGTACTTTATGTGTGCAATGTGGCACCGGGGCTACGAAGAACTAAACGTTGGACATTGATCTCTGCGCAACAGCAGGAGAAACACGCGGTATCGCCCGGACAGGTACAACAGGCGGTAAACGATGCCTGATTCGATGATCCCGAAAAAACCCAGGAGCACCGAGGCAAGACGTATGGGCAGCCTTCATTCTAACATAGTCGACCCAAGTCAACAGTTCAAATGGACTTCATTCTAGTGCAGGAGTGGAGCCAGCATCTTGTTGCCTTGAACACCGCTGCATTACTTTGTAAGTCAAATCGTCGTTTGAGATTTGCGTGGGGGTTGCTACAGGAGTAGACGACTCGTATTGCTACCATTGCTACCGTTGGACTACATGTACACCGGCAAGAGGCGGAGAGATGGCACCCCTCCCTGGAACGATTTTCAAACCTCGATTGCTCCACAACCAAGGGGTGCGGGAAGAACTCGATCATTCCACGGAAAGCCCAAGACGCGATTTCTGCAACAATATCATTGATGGTGTTGGTGTATGCTACAATCTTGTTTGTGGAGCAATCGAGCTTTGAAAGTCGGTCTGCTGTTACGTAGGGGGGTTGCCATCTCTCCGTCTCTACGGGGAACCGGATGAAAAACTGCTGTATCATGCACAATACAACAAAGGTAAAAAGCACTAGAGGAAGGTCTTCCTCTTGTGTCGCTGCAGCCGGTTCTTCCGATATACTTCTAATGAATACAAGTAGCTGTGCAGTAGGCTGGGCACAACAAGAAGTAACGGGACGAGAGACGAAATAATGCCACTGAGATTGCCGTGAGGCGGTAACAAAGGAGCGAGAGAGCCAGCGCAGCGCACCATAGCCACCATTCCAGACAGAAAAGGAAGACCGGATCCTTCCCGTGCTCGCGGCGTACTACTAGTAGGCTGCGCGCCGCTAGCAGGGGCAGCAGCGTCGCCAGCATCCAGGTCGGTCGCCATCTCTGCCGTTGCAGCATCTTCCGACGTCGTCACGTGCCCTCCTGGCCGCAGTTGGTCTCGTGTGGGGTCAAGAGTGGGTGCTTCGACGTCGGCTGTTGCCGTTGTTGTTGCAGCTGCTGAAGCGGCCGAAGCCGGCGCATGGGCAGGGACACAGCCGCCGACATCTCCGCTCTTCTTCGTGCGTCTACGTCGACCCCCGGCGAGGAACACCTAATATGCTTTTTGGGCGCAGCAGTGGTAGCAGGGAGGGAGGGCGACGGGAACCACTCACGTGAGCAATGTGCGCGCGTGCGAGTGGAGCGGGTTGGGGTGGGGAGGGATACGGGACGTTGCAATTTCAAGGTTCAACCTGTGCAACACATTTCAACATTGCTCTGCATCAGGGCTGCTGCTGTGGTACAAAACAGAGGCTCGGCGGCCACAGGGACAGCTGTAGTGGGCGGCGCTGGCTATATACTTTTCGGCAAGCCTACAGCGAAGCTTACGTGGCACGTGCGCCAAACGTGTGTGGCGACACCAGGGAGGCTGGCGACAAGTGAGCCGCCGTGATACATGACTCGATTTGGACTGAATGGCTGGATTGGCTGGAGTGACCGGATTGGCCGACAGTTTGCCAGTCTCTACCCGCCCGTTCGCTCGGCAAGATCGAGACGGTCTGCTGTAAGCATGTTCTTTGAATGGATGCCGCAACGGGAGGATGGACGACAACGGTGGAGGAGACTCGCGCGTAGCGCCTCTAACATGCACAATCCCAAAGTGGGGTACGCTCGTGGGGAGTGGCGCTGTGCTCTCGGAGCGGCGCGATATGGCAGGCCTGCCCGTACACCACACACAGCCTCTCGTCCCTCACTCTGCTGCCAACCGGAGCGGGATCCGATCGAAACAATGATGATGTGTTCTGCTTTTGCGTATGCCGCGTATGTTGGTTGATGCGCAAGATAAGATAGAAACAAAGCGCGTTTAGTGGCAGAATGCCTGCCTCGCTGTGCTGCTTCTGTTCGCCTCTCTCTATACACCCCCGGGTGAGGGTTGCCTTCTACGATGATCGTTCGTACACAGGTCCCGTGCGTGTTTTTTTTTTTGTGGAGGATCTCCAGCCTAGCTTCGGACTGGCGGAGTAGAAATAGACACAGAGGCAGACAGCAGCGTGTGTCCTCCCTGAGATTCGCCTTTATGTCTCGTTGCTTGACACTATGATACTACATACCTCCTCGAGAAGTAGCCTCACCCCCCGTCCGAGTGCGCGCACCCAAGGGGGTCAGCAGGCAGCAAGGCTCACGACGCGTATTGCTCACGTTTTGTGCACGCTCCTGGAACGTTCTTGCGGGAACGCTGCTCCTCTCGACCGTGGACGATGAGCCCTGGATGCAGCTCCCACACGTGCGTGCCTTGCAAGTCGGGAAATCGGATGGGTCCAGCTCGTGTGTGGGCGGAGAACAGCAGCTCGGCCAAGGGAATGGACTGTAGTCTTGTGGCGCGGGCTTGGAGACGAATGTTCAGTGATGGTTCCAGTTCAGCGGCAGTTCGCATCATTGATTCAGAAATTTCCCTTGGTGAACGACTAATGAACGGCTAATAATTTACCCTAAAAAGGTACACTCAAATAAACTGGCCGCGAGGGGTCCGCAAGTCAATATTAAATTATACAAGTAGATATCAACGACAGATATTCTGGAGTCCTCCACTCCCCCTGCGCGCTATGCGAGGTAACAACTGAGACTAGGAGTCACCATCACGGGCCGGAGAGAAATAGGTACAACCCTTGGTTCGATCTTGCTACTTCACAACGCAAGCAGACAAGGCCATCTGGCACAGAAAAAGCGAGAAAAAAAGGGAGAAAAAATAAAAGGAAACAGTAAGGAAAGAAGAGCAAAAAAAAAGAAAGAGAGCGAGGACAAGAAGAAGGGACCAGGGCGAAAAATGACAACAAATAAGAGACAGAAAAAGGCACACGTTGGAGAGACCACTAACGAACAAGCAAACACGCAAACATGGCCACCAGACAGCGATACATTGTAATGGTACGTCATCACTAGTGGGGGGTTGGTGCAATGGTGCAGCGTTGGGGGGGGGGAATTGGCTAAAACAAATTATATCCGGCACGTATCGCCCCACTCGGTCCGTTCCTTCTCGTTTGCTTTCTTCCCTCGCCGCCTCGTCCGTCTCCTGCCCCCCTCCCGCCCCATTGGTTGTTGGCTTGTGGTTTCGTTTGAGCGCTCGTTGTCGGCTGGCATCTTCTTCCTTCTCGTGCCAGGAGGTCATGAACCTCTCAGCTCCCTGTAGCACCGCCGCATGCCAGGGGACTCTCCCCGCCACCTTCGCGGCTTCCGTCCACTTTACTTCGGTGCCGTGTCTTTCGGCACCGGGATTCCGAGACAATATGGATCGATTTTCGTAGATCCGTGGTCGGCCCCGAATGCCTTTAGGTCGTCGAGCACACACTTCGGCCAGTTCTGTTCCTGTCCCCCCCTACGTCGCTTCTCCCCCCCTGCCAGTTCGCCGAGCATCAGTCGTTTCGGGAGTCGCCCGTCCGGCTGCCTTGCCAATGCTCCCGCGAACAGTAGGCGTCGTTGTCGGATCATGGCTTCAATGCTCTGGCACTCGACCCTCTTCAGCGTTTGGGCGTAAGAGAGCTGCCGGTAGGTGTCTTACTTGCGCTTGTACCCGAGGACTCGGAGGAGCAGTCGGTGGTGTATCGACCGCAGCGTCTGATAGTGGCCGCTGAGTGGTGACCATGTCATGCAACCGTACAGCAGTGCCTCCATCGCCTCCGCCTGGAGCAGGCGGATCTTGAGTCGGAATGGCGCTTGCGGTCTGTCGAAGAGCTCCCGGCCATATCGCCTGAGGCACGCCCACGCTCCTCTGCTCCTGTATGAAGTTGATCTCCCGGGTGAGGTCGCCATGTTCGTTGACGAACAAGGCCACCGAGGTACCGGAACTCGGTCGTCTGGGCTTATTTCTGCCCCGCGGCTTCGATAGTCAGCGGTGGAGGCGGGGGGGGCTGTGATGTTGTAGTCGGCTTGTCCTTTGCGCGCATCAGGAGCGTCTCCGTCTTCTTCTCCGACACCGTTAGCCCGAACTCCCCGAACACCTCAACGATGATGGTCATTACTCTCGCCAGTCCTTCTGCAGACCTCGATACGACGCCGGCATCATCGGCATACAGCATCCCCCATACTGCCTTCCGTCCTCGGTCAAGGGGTGTCTCCTCCCCCCCCCGGGCTTCCGTTTTCCCCTCCTCCAAGCACACCAGGCTCCGCAGAACAACATCATCCTCGCTGAATCGGATGGCAGCGAACTCGAGGACCTCGGCGAAGAAGATGTTGAATAGCAGTGGGGATAGCACACATCCTTGTCGCACGCCCTGTGTCACGAAGAACCAGTCCGATAGTTCTCCGTCGTCCATGCGCACCCGGGCCCGCATTCCATCGTGGAATTGGCGGATGACTTCGATCAGCTTCGCGGGAATCCCGGCCCTGGCCAGCACCTTCCATAGCATCTCTCGGTCCACCGAATCATACGCCTTGTTCAAGTCGACGAAGCACATGTAGAGCGGTATTTTCTTTCTCCGCCCCAGCTCCTGGAGGCGGCGCACGACGAACAGCATGTCGACGGTGGATCGCCCGGGTCGAAATCCGCACTGTTCCTCCGGGAGGATGTTGTTGGCTCGCAGAAGGCCGTTAGACGGTTGGTGATGATCTTGATGGGGACCTTGCCTACATGAGATAGTAGTGAAATCCCCCTGTATGTAGTTGTTACAGTTGGACCGGTCACCCTTCTTGTACAGCACCTTTGATGGTTGCATCCTTCCACTCTCGCGGGATATCTCCTCCGTTCCATACTTTGACAAGGATGGTGTGAAGGTGTCCCAGGACGAAGGGTTCGTCGTCATCGATCTTGAGCAACTCGGCAGGGAGGGAGTCATGGCCGGGTGCCTTCCAGTTCTTGAGGCCTTTCGTTGCCCGTGCCACCTCCTCGAGTTCTGGCACATCTCCCAACCGTTGAGTGTCACGTGTCGCTGGCCGCTGCGTCACTCGTTCGATGATGTCTGGGTTCAGGGTGGGGGATTTGGTGTTGAGTAGGGTGCTGAAGAATCTCGCCCACCGCTGGAGGATGTCGTCCCTGTTCCGGAGCAACACGCCGTTCTCATCCGCGACGAACTGCTGTCCCCCCGCTTGTCTCCCGCTGAGGCCCACTGATCTCTTGAGGTGTTGGTACAGTCCTCGCATGTCGCGATCTTTGTAGATTGCTTCGAGTTCAGTCACATATCCGTCCAGGTGGGCAAAAATGCCCGTTTTGACTGCTGTAGCCACTCTCTTACACGCTGCTTTGAGACCCCTCCACGTTGCTGAGTTCCAGTTGTGCCCCTCATCGCCCGGCGCGCTTCCCGCCGTTTGGTAAGGGCCTGCTCCAGCGCTGCTCTCGTCTCTGGGGTCGCACATCACTCCGGCGTGCGGCGTCTCCGCGGTTCCTCCCCAAGGGTCGTCTGCGCTGCGTCGAGGAGAGCATTGGTAATGTCGGTCGCCAATTCCGCGGCGATGGTTGTTCGCTCGTCCAGTCGTGTGTCGAGGTTGAGGAGAAACCGATTAGTCTAGTCACCGCACACCGTGCTGCTTCGAATTGCAATTCCCGTCGGTTGAGTTGCTTCTGTTTCGGTTTAGTCCGGACTGCACTGGTGTGGACAAGCCTGCCACCGAGGTTGACGGTGGCTACTACCATATTGTGGTCTGAGTCTGCATTGACTGGGCGAACCGACTTCTGGATGACAACCACGTTAGATATTCGGCCGTGATGTGCCTGCCTTGTCAGGATATAGTCAAGGCGCTTGCAATCGGCTCCCGACATACCGTTGAATGTGTGCCATATTCCGCCCTTGCGTGTCTCGAAGAACGTGTTCGTGAGAGCTATCCTGTGTTCCGTTGCGAACTTCAACAGTAGCATGCCATTGTCGTTGAGCTCATCANAGATATTCGGCCGTGATGTGCCTGCCTTGTCAGGATATAGTCAAGGCGCTTGCAATCGGCTCCCGACATACCGTTGAATGTGTGCCATATTCCGCCCTTGCGTGTCTCGAAGAACGTGTTCGTGAGAGCTATCCTGTGTTCCGTTGCGAACTTCAACAGTAGCATGCCATTGTCGTTGAGCTCATCACGCCCGTACATTCCTAATACCCTTCCGTCCCCTCCGTCCAACCTATCTCCCGTCCGCGCGTTGCCGGCCATTAGGACATACACACATTTCTTTGGAAGGGATCCTCCGCACGAGACTGTCAAGTTTTCCCCAGAACACGCGCTTGCTGTTTGCTGTCTGCTGTCGGCGGTTGAAGGTTCGGTGGGGGCACACGCGGCTACGAAGTCGACCGCTCAATGTCTGCGGCCACCCAGAAGATTCGAAAAACGTTTTTAAGACTATGTGAATGCCACCTCAGACTGTCGTAGATTGTGACGTCAGATGACCTGTCGGAGATCTACCTTCGGGGTGTTACCACAGATAGAGTCAGTGCAGGTTGGATGCTGAACCTTNCTTGCTCACACGCGAACCTGGAGACAACAGTCTCATAGTGGCGTCAGCGGCGTTACGTGTGTTTGTTGAGTTCTTTGTGCGGTGGTGGCACTACCTTGGGGCAGTTGCCATCATGGGGAACAGGAAAAAATCGAGAAAAAAACAAAGAGGTCCACCTCCAGGAATTCTGCAAGCAGCTACCGTTTCGATATCCGCGGCTCACCTCCGCAGCGTTCCCAAGCTGACTGGAGACGGTGCCGAGAATGTGATAGAAATCTTGAAACATTTTCGTACGGTAGTTGGGCTGAAAGCCGCAGTTGTCAACACGGATTCGTCNCGTTCCCAAGCTGACTGGAGACCGTACAGAAAACGTGATCGAAATCTTGAAACATTTTCGTACGGTGGTTGGGCTGAAAGCCGCAGCCGTCAACACGGATTCGTCGTTTGCTGATGGGGTTGCACTCAAGCACGTTGCCCTGGTGGGAACAGGAGAAGTGTTGACCCTGATACAGAAGATCTTGTCTGGACAGATAGACTGTTCTAAGGCAAGCATGTTCACAGAACCGGAGGAAAAAGGGTCGTTTCCCCCTCCGACCACGTGGGACGCCATGTGTTCTGTTTTGCTTGATTCACTTCTTCCCGCAAATTCAGTTGAGGAGGAGGCACACAATCTCGCAACGTTCGTTGAAGGGCCACAGGAATCTGTTTCCTCGTATGCGCTCCGTTTCTGTACTGTCATGGCACGGTTCCAAGCTGCCGTCGAGCGTGATGGTAGTCGTACCGCTTGGAATTGCATGACAGTACCGCTGTGGCAAAACGGGTTGACCCCCGAACTTCGAAAACTTCAACGGGGATACACCCCCGTAAAGTCGCTCAACGAGGCCATTGATCGAGCGCGTCGTCTCGAGGAGTCGGAACCCGTTATCACTGTTTCGGCAACTCACTCCGTATCGTCTACCTCCACTCGTCCCGCGGCGGTGGTACAGGCGCGTCCTAAGCAGACGGTGACTTTCAGGAAGTCACCCACCGCACGTCCGCCGACACGACACCGAGGAACGCCCGCAGCTCGTGGCCGAGGTTCGGGTAGAGGGGGTGGTCAGCGTCGGCCGTCGTTCGATCCGTGCACCCACCCCTCCTGTCGGTCGCACAAGACTCACCCGATCGAGCGCTGCTGGGTGAGGATCGCGGAGGAAGAAGAGCGTCAGGGTCGTTCCGCATCGAAGCGGTCCCGTAAAGATCGTCGGCGAAAGCAGAAGGACGATTCGTCGGACTCCGAATAGGGGTGCCCAGGTGTTGTGCCCGCAATACTTGGGAAGAAATCTGCTGCTGCCGTAGTAGTTTGCAGTAGGGGCGTGAAAAGATCTTTTGATCATTTTGCGTCACTTGCGCGTTCGTCTATGTCGTACTCCGAGTTATAGATCGTGTCCGAAGCGTACAAATCGACTGGTAAATAAGGAACATGCGTCCCCTGTCGTAGAACAACCACATAGAAGGTTAGAGCGTTCAGTGAACGCAGCCGATTTAGACGTGGTTGATACAGGAGAGTCCCCTGTGGCATCGCGTGACCGTCAGAGTGCCAAGAAAACAAGGGCCGACAGGATTGTTGCCGTACCGAAAAAAATATCGGAGCGTAAGAAGTGGAAGAGGAAGTCGGATGGAATTAAACAACGTGTTTTGTGGTACAGCTCAGCGCTGGCGCGAAAAAACCCGTCTCTGTCCCTGTCTTTTTCATCCAAACGCGTTCGCGCTTCTGGATATATCGATGGTCAATTTCTTCCTGAAATCACCATTGATACTGCAAGTGACGTCACGTGCGTTTCACTTTCGGTTTTGAAACAGCACCCGTTATCGTTTGCTCGTTTAGAGCCAATACCGTCACCGTCCCTAAAACTCAGTGCCGCAAATGGTGCACCAGTCAAAGTTTTAGGATTTATTTCGTTCGTTGTTCGGTTGGGAGACGTGTCCCGCCGAATCGATGCGTTGGTCGTACCATCGCTCGGTCCTGATCA